GACGCTACCCACACCAAACTGAGCGTTCAACTCCCCACATCCATCTCTCTCTTAATAGTCTCTTTAGCTTTTCACTTCTTCTCATTAACTCCCGCTCGATCATTATTAAAACGGTATCACTTAAACATACTACACGTAATTGCTCCCCAGATATCATCATGATCGCTGAAACGTGGCTGCGGGAGAAGTTTCCCTCAGCGCTCATCCATTTGGCTGGGTACAAGGTCTTTAGGAAAGACAGGCAATACCGCCGCGGTGGCGGTTGTCTAGTATACGTCAAAGCCCCGTTTCATGCTGCCCCATTATAGAGCCCTATTTTAGATAACCTACAGGAATCGATTTGGTTGGGCTTCGCATGTCGCGCGCAAACTATGACTATTGGTTGCATTTACCGCCCCCTTCAACCTCCCGTGACTTTTCTTTTATATCTGATGCGTTCAACTACCTAACTGACCTTATACCGAAACCCATTCTTGTAGCTGGTGACTTCAACGCACCTAGTATACCTTGGTCCACCTCAACAGCACCTAACAATCTCACTTCTTTCCTATCTAGCATTATGTCTGGTGGCTGGACACAGCACGTGAAATCTTCCATTAGGGGAGACCATGTTCTGGACTTAATTTTCACTAAAAACCCGATAGTTTCTCAGACATCTATCCTGAACTACTTCCCAGGTAGTGACCATAGATTGGTAAAGTGCAGTTTTCTACTCAAGCTGTCCCATAGCTCTACTCCTCCAGCCAAGGCTCCACCACTTATCACTGATTGGTCTTTTCTACCCAGTTTAATTTGCTCCCAAGATTGGACTGATTTCTTTCTTTCCTCCAACCCACAAGCTGCAGCGGATATCCTCTACCAAAACCTTTCTAACTGCCTCCTCTCACTAACCCCGAATACCTTACCTGCACACCGACCCCCCCTCCCACCTTGAGAGGCTACACAAAAAATTAAGTAAAATAAATAGGCTATATCGGACTACCCATGACTTTTCCCTCCTCATGCAGTTTCATGGTGGCTTGAATGCTCCAAGTCAAGTCAAGTCAAGAAAAGCTTTATGCACCCAAAAGGTGAATTTTCTGCAGTTTACGAGTTTTACAGTGGATAGTTAAAATAATTGTAATCAAAAAGAAAAATACAGGATGAAATACAATATAGAAGGACAGTTTTCGAACTTTTGTGAAAACGTTGATGACATGATCAGACCAAGACAGGTTATGGGTAAGGGTGACACCAAGGTATTTAACAGAT